CGTAATTTCGAAGCCGGCTAAATCCTGTCCGCAAATACCAGTCCGCGCACAAAGCGCACGCGGCCGTAGCTGTTCGCACAAAGGACCGCGCGTATATATTCTAGGTCAGGGTCTCTCAAACTGGGTTGATTCCGCCGCGGCCGCCACCGTATATGTCCGGAACGTGCAAAAGCGCTCGGACGATTCCGGAAAGGTCGCGCCATCAAACTTGCGACTCACGGGATCCCCCGTGCGCCCTTTCGGTCGATCCGAAATTCTCTCGTAAAGTGGCAGTAACGGGAGCCATTAAGCGCGTGAGCTCGCGTAAAACCGTGGAATTATTGATGGCACGGAATTATCGAAGCTGCATTGCAGGAACAATCTAAGTATACGCTTCTCCACGCACTTCGGAACAATCGCTCGATGGAAATTGCGTGTTGCAATAAGATGAAACGTCTTTTTTGTGCAACAAACAGCGAGGTGAGATTTGGTATAGAGGTTTAATGCGTAACGCGGATTATGATCACGAGATATGTGACGCGATAGATGATTTTTGTAAACTGGAGAATGCAACATCGCAGCTTCCTGAGAACCGCTGTCCTAGAGTACACATGCAAGCGTTATGCGTGGGTGGAAGGGTAATAACTACGCCACGAAACTTGCCCATCAGGCGCAATGAACAACGGTGTGTTGTTAAATAGTGCCATTAACGTTCTGAGAGCGCGTGTCATCGTGTCACCGAGGTACATTCAGCGGTATGAATGGAATTTTTTCGTCGAAAGCTGAAAACGACTAGCTCGTGTTTGCGTCATGATGTTTTTACGTTTTGATTTTAGTCATTCAGTTTAGATTGTTTTTGCGTGAAATAAATATGAGATTTTTTTTCGCCCATTTGGCAAGCTACAATATTGATGCGTAAACAATTAAGCTAGTTGAAAAATAGTAGCGTGCAAAAAATTGGAGTGCAAATTTAACAAGAAAACGACAACGTCGATTTACAAAAATAACTAATTGCCGTCGATACCATTTGATGTGCTCAAGCAAATATAATGAAAAACACTTTTTGAATTCTACTGCAATTTAATTGCAAATAAAAAAAACGTTATTTTTTTATTGGTATTTTTTTTAAATTTACGTTGCAACAAAACAGCCCTCTCTCGAAGAGCTTGCCGTTTGAATTGCCGCGGCAACAACGGTACGGAAAGTAACACGCGGAAATAATTCCGCCCATTCGTCAGCGGCGCCGTTTGGTGAACAGCTCCTTCCAAATGCATGAGATTGAAATTGAAAATATGTAGATTTCACGCGCGCGATATAGACACATTCGTGTAAAGCGTGCGAACGGCGAAGTGTTCGCGTGACTGGCTATCGATCAAATCGCTTGAAAATCGATGCCGAAAGTAAATGACGCATTATCCATTCCAAGGTTTTCTCTCTCTCTCTCTCTCTCTCTCTCTCTCTCTTTCTCTCTCTCTCTCTCTCTGTGTGTGCCTGTGTGTTCGTGAAAGAGAGAGAGAGAGAGAGAGAGAGAGAGAGAGAGAGAGAGAGAGAGACAGAGTGCTTTATTCAAACACGGACAACTCGGCTCGAAAATCATTTCGACATATGTTATATGTAAAATTATGTAGATTTGTCTGAATTTGACAGGATTCTTGGAGTCTGGTGTAACTTCACGGGAATTAATGTAATCGCATAAACATTTCATCTGAATTATGGACAAGCTGTAGCGACAAAAATTCCTTATCGGTTTGCCGCTCGAGTCACGGAAGATTACATATTACATTAATCGCAGCTATGTTATAAGTGTTAACGACGGAAAATTATTACTCCTCCACCGGGAATATGCGCGACGAGATGGTAACTTATGTGAGGGAGACGATTGATTGATCCGATCACTGGGCCAAACGAGGCTCGTTAAAAAGCTGTAAATTACGAAACACTTTCCATCGTGTCATTAAGTGTCGTGGAACTCGTCAAAAAATACCGTCGCCGTGCGTTGTAATCAGTAGCGTATATACTTTCCTCTACACCGTATAATCTGTTATGCAAAGCTTGCGCAAGATTAATTTCCTAACGACTTGGGAACGTTAACACACTCGGCTCGTATTTCGTGTAACAAGCTGCATTTTTTAAATGTAAATTCAGGTAATTTTTACGTTTTTAAGTACACGCGAATTAAGTAAGAGATTCGAATCGTTATATGCTTACGTTATCTGGAGATCGGATGATTGAGAGATACGCGAAGGAAATAAATTGATGGGGAAAACCTGAATGGGAAAACTGCGACGTGTATGAAAATGCCCCGCCCGCTCGGGTCGGACCATATATTTGCATGGCGGGCGCGATCTTCATTCATCTGTCATCGCTCGAGCCATTTGTCTTTATCAGCTGCTCGTTATATTGCACGTGGCAAGGCCGCTCCGTCGCGTATTTATCACGGGGGAGTAGCGAAGAAAGGGGAGGGATCTCGACCTTCGGAAAGTTCGCGAGACAGTTTCTCGGCGCACGTGGGAATACAGGTGGTCCGTCGCGTCCCCCGACAAAATAAGATTCGCGAGAGCGCGCTGTCAGAGCGATAACGCGGGGAAGTTTTACGCGTGTATAATCCGTTCACCGATATATCTTTCGAAATCCTGTTACGTCAACCTCGCGCATTCGCGTTTTCACACGTATCTCTATCCTCCCGCCCGGGATTTCCCTTCGAACGAATCCTTCGTTTTTCCATGCGAGCGGATACCTCACAGCGGATTGGACGGCGCTAAGTATTCGCGTTACGATGAACGTCGCTTGCTAACAATAAGCTGATTACGCGCAAGTGAATATTAATTGCGCGTTAATTACGTGCCGGATAATGGACGCTCTTTCACAAGGAAAAGGCACTCACGTTTTAATCCACATCGTACAGCGCGCGCGGAAAAAGAAGATCTGTATATCTAGTACGCCGAGAATGTCGTCACGATTCTCTTTAATAATAAAAAATTTCTACACGAATAAGTAAGGTACTTACCGGGTGTTACATTTGGAAACGGCTGGCCCGGCAACGACGGCGGATGCTCGTCCTCGGGCGAACGTTCGGACGCGTATCCCTGATCCTGAAGCGGCTCGCCGCTCAGCTTGCTCAGCTTCAGATCGACGCACTTGCCGAGCTGCTGGCGATGCTTGAGCAGCTCGCAGTCGGGCTTGTGCATCTTCATCAGCAGGTTGTCGGTGGCGTTCATTACGGGCGGCTGCGAGGACGACGAGTTCGACTGCAGGCTCCTGCCGCTGCTGTTTCTGGGATCCTGCTTGCGCTTCGGCAGCGTGCCGACTAGGTCGAGGTCCGAGTTCCGGTGGCATCTGGTGTCGTCCGAGGACACGCCGCGGCCTCCTCCGTACCGCCTGCCGGAGTCGGCCAGCACGGTGTCGGCGCTGCGATTTCTCTTGACCGAGTCTAAGTTACCGTGGCGGGTTCGCACGAGGTCGAGGTCGCTCTGTTGATACCTGGAACCAGCCCGGGGAATCGCTCGGGGTTAATCTTCCACCGAGAGATTTGTTTGCGCGCTCCACCGGAAGCGGGAGAATTCGCACATTTCGCGTGCAAAGGGTCGACCGGAGAACTATTTCCTCGGGACTTTTAAAATGCGGGAAGTTCGCGAACGCGAAGGGTACCTCAGTTCAGGTTCGAAGTGGAAACTTTGGGGGTTCGCGTTTGATATGAGAGAGTATGGCGCGAGCGATCGATCGACGGAGATTGAAGTCCAAAGGGACATTCCCGGAATTCTCCAAATTGCCGTGCCTCTGTCCGCGTCGATCCCCTCCCCCCCCCCCTCCCTCTTCCTGACAGCGTCTCGCGACGAAATGTGCATGCGGAGTCGCGTGTATAAGTGAAGGGCGATAAATTTCAGGAATTTATTAAGGATAATTAATTCTAACGGAGGCCAACATGTCGAACGTCCAATTGCGCATCGCATTTCTCTCTGTAATATGAATCGAACGGCTCTTGCATTATTCTTGGTTCTCATAGTTGTTCACGTACTTACCTCCAAGGATCGTTCTCGTCCAGAGAGTCCTGCGATCGGTGTTTAACGAGATCCAAAGTGCCGGTCGGTCCGCTGTCCGAGAAGTGCACCCCTAACGAGCGTTTCTTGTGCGGTAACGTACCGCCGAAATTTCCGCCGACACTCTCGGACGAGATGTTGTTGTTATCCCGCCGATCGTCATCCAGCGTCCCATCTTTGTCGTCCAAGTGGTTCGGCAGCGAACCGCAAAATTTATACCTGCGCATGCAGAAAAAACAAATTGTGTAATTGGATAGTTTATTCAGATCCTGAGCAGATCACGAAACGATAATTAGCAAGATATTATAAAACATATAAACAATATTAATTTGAATTAGACCGCGTAAGTGAATATCACAAATAAATTTGAGAGAGCTTTCTACGGTCACGGCTGCCTAATAAATTCTATATGAATTTTTAAATCCATTATTCAGCCATTTAAACTACGCTCCGAATCAATGTCGGATTTGCAATCATTGGTTGAAGTTGGAATAATGAGATCACAATTGATCTTCAATTCTTAATAATTTGATCTTAAAATATTGTGAAGAACTTATTGCGAAAAATAGATATTATATAAAGATATTATAAATATGCATGTTATAACAGAATACACTTCCTTTTGGCGTATTACTTCATGTGTTTTACACATTAGATCGTTTGCATAGCTCAAGTCATTTTTTTGTTTCTCTCTTCATTACAAGTTTAAAAGAAGATGAAAGTGTTGAGAAGGAAACAAGTTTGTAAGCCGGAAGCACGCGTCTCGTGTAATACGCCGCTATCCGTTGGAGAGCGTCAAATTCTGTATAGGAAAAAATATTTTACGGTAATTTGCATAATCTGCTAGAGTCACATCATTTGTCACATTATTTCGTCGGTGGTAATCGAGGTGCGAACGATCGTTTTCGCGCGTCCTCGATCGTGATATGTGACGACGAAAACGCGCGAAATGCGACACGAATGTAAATTCACGTGAGTAAGAGAACACTCCTGTTTTTAAACGCCATTGCCACTCGCTCGCAATGTCGGCGCGAACGAAGGTGAACAAAAATAAAATGGAATAAGAGCATTTAAAAGCGATATATGAGGTGGATGCGACGGGAAGAACTCCGCCGTGACAGCACGTTCGCGTGCTATGTGACATACGTGACACTCGAGCAAGATGAAATCGAGCGCATCGGAATCGAAATATCCAGCCGTGGACGATATATATGTATATTCGTAAGATACCTCGCAATTTCGCTCCGCGCGCGCGAATTGTCAATAAAATGAGCTCGCCGCGTGCATTTTTCGATATATAAATATCCCTGCAGGCAAACGATCTTTTAATCCATTAGAGACAATAACGAAGTTAAATTCAGCTTGATCTTAAAGCGCTATACACGCGATATACACAATTCCTCGTCCTTTATTTAAAAAGGTCGACATAGCAGGATCGATACCTCTTTCCTTTCGGATACTTTGACAGGAGAGTGAGTGAGGGAGTGAGTGAGAGAGAGAGAGAGAGAGAGATGCCTTTTGTAATAATAAAAGTTGTACGACTCTTCCGATTTATTCTTTGCAGTAATGTTACGTCGCTCTTATAAGACCGGTCGGGAAAATAAGTCGGAGAAGCATGACATAATCGTCACGACACATGGCGACGTTTCGTATATTTACTCGGCGATCGTGTTTGCGTGCGTCTCATAAAACATCCTACGTGACAACGGACCGCGTACCGGGGAACGGTACAGGAAACTTTACTAATAATTCGTACGTGACATCATCCGCCGTGTAGTCCGCTTTCACGCCCGGTGGATAGGCGAATGCCTTGCCTATGCGCAAACCTCCGTGGCATGCATAAGCGCGCGGAACATCTGACCTTTCACCGGTCTTTCCACTTACTTCGACCTCTCGCGTCGCGGATACCACGCTCGGTAAGCCTAAAAATTCTATCCGGTCATGCCAGGGAAGCAAATGATACAAATAACAGTCTTATAGTACAACTGACAGCTACAGACGTGACGAGAAACGCAATGTTAAAATAACTCGGTATTAAAATTCAGAGAACCCGTTATAGATTTGTGACATTTTGTACTTTCACTAATCTCAACTTAATTCAGCTTCTTCCGTTGTAATCCTTATTACGATGGGTCAAAAGTTTATTTTCTTCTTTTAAATGTAAACGTAGAAATCTGTGAGAATAAATCTTCCTTCAAGAAGTAAAACATATAATTACTACTTTAAGATTAAATAAATAAATAGAAATGAGATTTTATATTATGTGTTTTAAGTTGATATTAAATTATGATAGAAAATCAAGCCGCAAGGTTTTCTCTTACTAAAATCGTTTATTTTTTTTTTTTTTTTAAGAAATGGCTTTTTGGTAATGTAACTAAAGTGCACCGTCTGATATTTCAAGGCTTAAGCAAACAAGTAACACAAACGGAGCGACGATTCCGGCTTGCGCGGTATTACTGGTGTTGTCACTGCCGCGGGTTAGACAACAGCACTTACGCAAATGAGATCAGGAAGCGCGCCGCGGCCGCCTTTTAATATTCCCTCCCCGCGCGACTGCTCTTTTAGCCCGCGTTACCCCTTATTCCTCTCCGGTTCTGCCGCCGTCGTCTCCGTGTAAACGAGGGTTTAATGAAAGCCGCCCTGGTTCAGCGACTGGCCGACCTTAAAGGTACTTTAAATTATCTCGCGGCCGGCAACTTGTTACTACCGGAGACGCCGCCGCCAACCCTATTGTAGGGGTTGCTTGTAGAGAGAGTTGCTGCAAGAGAGAACTACGCGCGCGCCCAGGAGATGCTGATGCAAATGGGTTCCCTGTTTGTACGTCGCTGCAAGATGCAGGACGACTTCCGCGCTAGTAAAGTTTATACTAGTTTTCTCCTTTTAACTTCAAACGCGCTACCATTACTTTAAACATCTTGTTTAATTCAATTGTCGTCGGAGCCGGAATTTAGCAGAGCGGCACGACTTATTGTTAGAGATTTTAGACAAAGCTATCTAATCGCAACTAAATGTAATTTACATTAGTGAAATAAAGCCTGATGTGCGAACCGACGCGGATGTTGGTGCGTAACAATTTTTATAATATCCAGCCGCACGCAAACTGCGCGTCGCATATTCGTCGATTTTTTAATGTATTTAAATGTAATTTGTGACAGAATATATTATTCTTCATTTATTCCGTTCGATTGTTTCACATGTTTAAAATATACATTTATACATATTTGTACAGATAAAAAATTAATTAATTGCGTGTGGCTGGATATTGTAAAAATTATTACGATACATACCAACATCTGTGTTGACTCGCATTGTCGTTACTTCGCTATTGTTGATTTATACTTTACGAGCCCCAATCCCTTTAAATTTATTTTAAAAATTAATTAAGATATAACAATTTTTTATTTACGTTGTACCTTCAGCACGACAAAATGTAATAAGATGCAGGTAAGCACATTATATCAAATAGGTATTAGATCGAATATCGCGAGACGCCGACCTATATTACGAAAAATGGTCGCGGGTTCGGGGAGACCTTATTAAAGTTATATTAACGAGACGTCTGTCCTTGATGGATTCGCTAATAGTTTTTAGATGGTATACCGCGCGACCAACCGGTTGCAGTAGAATCGCCGCATCAGTCGTGGTTTTATCTTACCCAGCCCGTTATTACGACGAACATATACGAGAAGACACAAATAATTATTAATTTAATAACAGAACGACGCAACGTGCGCGGCCGGCTTATTTTCTTCCGATTTATCACCGTCATTTATCACGCCCGTTATCAATGTCGAATATAATTCACCTTCGGATTAACGATCTCGGCCATTGTCGACCGCGCGGCCCAGCGGCTAAACTCCGTTTAGCTGGACGTTAGGCGAACAGGAGTAAAGGGATATTATTAGTAGGTATACGCAGCTTCGTGTTTTCAACCTTGTTATTGCTTAATCGTCTTACGCAGCTTGGCACATACCAGTCCGCATTAATGAAGGATTCCGAAGTTGAAGTGAGGTAGGGTCTTGCACGTTTTACTACCTTTCGAAGGGCTCTCGAGATTCTCTCTAGATTTAATTAGCATCTGCTTCCGAATTAGAGAGCTTTACAAGTAATCCCATTGAGCGGCTAAATATAGCCATTCATGAATTATAAGGAGATATATCCGCCTCGCATAATCCTCGATGGAATAATCAAGAAGATGACCTCGCAAGAGAGGAATCTATCGATCGATTCGCAATCAATCTTAGTCGATCTCCCCTATCTCAATTTTTCAGAAAAATAATTCCTTTCATCTGTTTTACTCAGTTTTATTATTAATGAGTATCGATTATCGTATTTAGCTTAAGTAATTTCTCGGCGACTCTCTTGGGCATTCGTGCAGAAGTTATCACACGAATTAATACCATCAAACTGTCGATCAATGGAGTTAGCTTTGTTAATGGTTACGAATACCATGATATTCTATTTTAATCGACAGTTTGATGGTATTAATTCGTGTGATAGCTTCTGAATATCACTGCTTTATGAAAAGATCGACATTTCAATACCGCGACTTATAATAGTCAACAATATTTTTCAAGACAGTTTTCAATTTCTCATTTAGCCAATTCAAGGAACGTTCAATTGTCGCTTACAAATCTTAAAAAAATAATCACAGAAAAAAAGAAAGGCTTCAGGCGTAGCGATTTAGATTTCAATGAAAAACAAAGTAAAATGTTTATGAGGAAATTTAGCGACTTCGTCTTGGTAGATGTGTGTGTTAAGTGAACTTTTTTTCAACAGATACAAAGGGCTTGTGGGCAAAGAAGTTAAAGGTGAAGAGAGTTAATGTCTTATCGTTCCGCGGGGATCGTGGGTAAAGAATAGTTCACACCGATAGTGAATGAGCTCCCTTCTTTACACAGTTGACAAGCATTACACGAATGCTGTGCAATTCGTTACAGTGTCTTTTTATTGCAATAATTGCATAGATATTAATAATCATTAAACTGACAACAAGGAAAGTATAAATCATTAAAGTCATGATTTCTCGAATTTAAACTAAATACATTCCAATTTATGCACCTTGTTTTGTGTAAATATGTTTATAATTCATGAGCAAATTTGTGTTAAGCAAACTATTGGCGTGATACTAGCAGCACCTCATAGGTATCAGACGAGTAATCGATCGAGTGAATTGACCTTTCTCTCCGCGTGTTGCAACCCGACTATTCTCCGTAGCGTTTCAATCGTTTTTTCGTGCCGTACAAAAATTAACGTGTTTACGAGACTCGATTACAAAGAAGATCTAATCTGTCGCGAGAGAAGTGCGATTGAGACACCTTGCATCCACCTTTTTCTCATGTAATGTTTCACAATATTTAATTCCATCTTCGTAGCAACGAAGCATCGTACCAACTTCATATTTATGTACCAACTTTCGAATAACTTTTTAATTTACTTTTAATCAAACTGCAATCTAATTTTATACCTACACATTTCTTTACATTTTCAATATCTTCTTTAAAAAAGTCAAAGCAACGAGAAAAATTACTTTTCTTTTCAATTTCTGTAAAAAAAGTTACGCAATTGAATGTTAACATGAAATATTAGATTATAGATAGTATGCAAATATCGTTTAACAAAAATAAGCAAAATGTTAAAATATCTTTTTCCATTTAATTAAAGATAAAAACTTTTGATTTATAATAACATATCGTTTGCTCAGCGAATCTTAATTTATGTATGCCAAAATAAAATTTTCATTATCATAAGCATATAATGCTTACACGTTGAATAATAAAATATTATGTAATATGAATGAAATATAAGACTTATAAGATTATTCTCATGGATAATCTGTTGAATAGTATACTTTTTACTTTATTGTTATAGCTTTATTGTTATGTCATTTAAGTTTTTATATTACATAACATTTATTATATTTTTTTAAATGTATTATATTAAAGGTGGTTTTATCTCTTAATGCCAACTCGATAGTGTGACATTGTCACATAAACGTCACACAATCGCATATGTATAGTCTATGCGAAATGTTTTTATTGAATTAAACTTGTTTTTATTGAATTATTCGTAGAGGAGCCAGCTAAGAATGCGTGAGCACATAAAAGAGACAGAAAACGAGTCACCCATCTGCATCCTTGTTCAATCGCACATGCGAGAAAAAGATAAAAGATGGATGTACCCCTCGCTGTACCATTTTCTTTCTCTTTCTATCAGCTCACATGTCCACTCAAAGGGGCCGCTATGCCTCTTCTATACTCTATGTATATAATCTCTTTGGAATTATTAGCCATATGGAGGGACTAACTTTTGACTGGGACTTGCGTGATAAAACCACCTTAAAAAGAATGTAAAACTATTTTCGGCAATAGAAAGGAAAACAATTTATAAATGGCTAACCTGTCTGTTTGCGCGCTAGAACAGGGCACCAGTATCTTCCCCATACTGTTGAGTTTCCCCTTGGGATCGCACAAATTCCCAGACGATTGAGTGCGCCGGCCAGTCAGGCCCTTTCCGTTATGTCTGCTCAGGTTCGAGCCCATTATCGCTTCCTCGGTCGTCTGGATTACGTTCGTTTGGTGGTCGTCCTCGCAGCGATTCACGGCATTTCCGGGCGTGTTCTCTTTGTTCGGCCAGTCGAAGTACCTATCGAGCCGATCCTTGGCATTGACCCTGTAGGATATCGGCTGCGACGGCGGGGGTGGCGCCGGACGATTCCTCTTACCGCCGGAAACGACCGGTTGCAATTGAGGCCGGCAGCCCCGGCGACGATTGCTCGATTGCGGCGATTCGCCGTTTACGGACAGCCGCTGCGCCTTCCAGCTCTCCTGATGACCATTGCTGGTGGACGGCACCGTCACCACTTCCTCACCTGCAACAGTAAAGTAAAAAGCTGTTGATACCGGGATCGTTAGCCATTTCGGGAAATTGAGTTCCTCTGTTTTTGCCCGCCCGCGGCAGCTTCCTGCACTAACGCGGCACATCGCGAAATTGCATCCGCAGATGGACGTTTGATTCTATTTTCAACCATCGCGGGTGTACCTCGTACGAGAGTGTTTCGAACATGCGAAATGCGTTTTTGCGAAGATAATATCCCAACTCAACTTTTATGTATATCGCATCACGTTATCAGGATATAAAGTGTTTGTACCCCATTTTTGTATCCCATTTATTTTACATACTTAGCTCTTATGACGGCTTTTGAATAAATCAATTGAGTAAATTGAAGTTAAACCAGTTTCTAGCGCGAAGTAAAAATATTTCACTGTATGCTAAAATAAAACTTCTGTTCACTATTTGAATTTCGACCGTGTTATGTTTTACAGCGATAACGTCTCTCACAGAATATCTGCATCTGAACATGTTTGCAATTCATATGGCTTTGCGCAGAATGGAGAGTTTGCCATATATCCTGCGGTGCCTGATTCAAGTACTTAGTATTCTGTAATTTTATAGAATAATAATAACGCGAAAACGCTAACTAGAATATATATAAATTTATTTAATTTTGCAATATGCAGGATCATATTCAAATGATAAATTTATTAAAATGAAACTTTATTATTATTAAAAACATCGAAGCATTAATAGATTTTTAGAAATTACAAAAGATTTTTGTAAATAAAGTTCCAAAGACGCAAACAGAATTTTATTCTTTTAATTCAATTTAGCCTTTATCATTACAAAATTTTATTCTCGGACGTAGCTATGAAATTACTGAACGTGTTGCAGGAAATTGACAAATTTTCTTTTGCAACACGGAAAGAACGATTTTGTTGATAAGTCTACAAATTTTGCTGATTACAGATCTGAAAATAATTTTTTATTGAATCATCAAAATAATTTGTTAGAATGTTAAAACTGATAAAACATTGCTATAAAACTTTTTGATATTCTAGCAATCATTTTCGCACAAAATTATTTTGATTATCGAACAAAAATTATTTTTGATCTGGATTCAGCAAAATTGTTCTTTTCGTGAAGGAATGATGCTCTCTCTCTCAACATTTTCGTAAGCGAAAGGTTGTGACTCCAAATCATGATTGATCTAGTGATAGCAAGATAATCTGTATAAACTTTGTACACATTCCGCCCTCTCCGATCGTATCCCGAATAATTAATACTAATTCCATCTTTCAGCTTCCGCAGCGGAGTTGCAGAGCGCAAATCGCGTTCGCGGCCGAGCTTATATAGTGTTATGTCTATAGGAACACGTTTTGTAGCTACATACCCGAGGTCCGAGTCACTAATAACCACCGTGCACGAGGCTTATTGCATAACCGTATTATTAATGCGACCGGCATGCGTGCACGTGTATCGTGCACCTCTATACGAATCCAGCGAACGGAGCTGGATCGAAACGCGAGGCTCGTGTGTCGTGGTTGTTGTGTCTACAAGCGGAAAGTTTTAATTTTCAACGTAGAGGAATCAACGGCGCGCTCGCTGTAGAAGAATGAGAGCACCGGTACTGTACATACAAGTCCGATTAATTCATCGGTGAATATCGCGAGCGAGCGCTTGGAGGTGAATTGCGATTTGTTCTGGCGAAAGCGAAATCGCGTCTCCGAGTTCATCGCGCGCGCCGTGCGTACATTGTAAATGTTATTTCATAAAGATGCAAAACTTTCGGAAGGCTTTTCTGTGGAAAAATAATTTAACTCTGAGAGAAAGAGGGGTATTAAAAAAATTACAGTTTCAAGATTTTAATTATACAGCCGAGGGTTCCGGGCAAACTTTCATTGTTTCTCTTGAGAAACATACTTTAAACATCCAATATACTAATATTGGGATATTTAAAGTATGGACGAAACTTTGGTTTTAATTTAAAATACTTATAGTTGGAATGCACTTCCTGCCGTTCACGGTTTCTCGCGAGCGGAAGGTTGTAATGACTCGAAGAAAGAGTCGGTCATTAACACACATGAGGAGGAAATGCCTGGGGAGTCATAACTTCGCATGCTTGTACTTGATTTCTCGCAGGAAAGTATTACGTTAGCGATTCTACGGTAATCGGGACGATCAACCGTTAACGATAATCGACTGGTTCATAGATATGCAACATCCGTTGAACACAATTGTTAAAATTGACTTACATTGACGACACATAGAATAAGGGACAATATACGATTAGAATACCTTCTATAAAAGATTATCTTAAATATTTTATAAAGGAAAGATATCTAAATTCTGACTGATAACATTTAGAACAGATTTTAAAAAAATAACAGTCGAGCCTTCTTAGATTATCTTTATAGACAATAAAGTCCAAATATCTTTGAAAAAGCGTAGTTTACTGCAAAACAGAGCAATGGTGTTGGAAAATATTTTTTCTATCTACAAGTGACATAATTCATCTCCAGTATTATAACCATAAATTCCGGATCTTTTATTTTATCATCTTGTTCGTGCTGGCGGTATTTTCTTTGGATTATTCGCAACAGTATATATATATTTCGCTCTATGTGTATATACAACCCATTCCAGATAACGTCGTCGTCGTCGTCGTTGCTGTTGGGTTAACCGATGAAATCGCAGTTTTACGATGTATCCGAGGAAAATAGAAAGAAGTCAAGAATCAACTGTAAACGAAGATGAAGCTTTCGAAGAGAAGCTCTGATCTTCGTGTTCTTCATTTAAGAGAGATCACGGATTTACGCCTCCCGGAGTATCGCGGATGCTGCTCGTTCGAAGCTTATTTTATATACATCTTAAGAGAGTCTTAAGTGAAAGGCGTCTAAAGGTGCGTTTATTTAACTTAATACATGGTCCTCGGCCGCACATTATCTCGCATGCGAGCCGATGTGTAAAAAAAAAAACTTCTCTACCGCGCACGCGAAATCACCGTTGCGCCAGTAATTGCATCTTACCAGTGCGTGACGCGTTTGTAATGCGCGCATTTGCAATGACGTTCAGAGGAAAAAAGATAAACACGTCAAAGTGGCAAAAGGAATTCTTTCCGTTTCGATGTAAAATATAGATATAGGCTGCGAACGGCGCGTCAGTATTCAAGAGATAGAAAATTATCCAATTTTATCTAAGAAAAAAAGGCTGCATTTTGTAGAAAAGACGTCGCTGAAATGATTGTGTCACTTTGCTTGATATGGCAAGTTCGACAAAGAGACACTTTTAACGAAAATGACTGCGTTAAACTCAGCGCTCTTTGTGGGATAATGCCAAATGCCATTTCGACTTATCGAGCCATCGTACATCAGCAAAATGTTACACGTTTCCTTAATGTAAAACAGATACGATGTTAGATATTCAAATCGACTGCCATTGAATCTGATAAAAAAATAAATAAATTTTTAATTTATTTTAAATTCAAAGATTTGTTTAAAAGAAATCTATCTCCTTAAAAATATATACATATGTATATACAATATAAAATCCTAAGGTTGTATTTATATGTATATGTTAAAAGAGATAAATAAAGAGTTCGGTCTGATTTCTAAATCTGCGATAACGTACATGTACACGAAAGATGGGCAATCTTTTGTTCTACATCGTAATCGAAATTCATTGAAATCGAAGAGAGGTGGTTGCTGCACAAATCGAGAGAACGGGCACCGTTAATTCACAACCAACCGGCTACGACAACGGTATTTAACCGATAAATTGGTTCGAAAATCAGCACGTTGTGTTACCTGATCGACTTTACGAGAGGTCGTGTCGTCGACGTTGGCAATTATTCTGAACTCTTCCGCTTATGCGGCTTTCGGTCGCGAATAAATCCGGAGGTGGGTAAATGTGGGAAATTGATAGGAATCGTGCAGGTCGACCTCGGGACGATTATTGGCGCCGTAAAGGAGCCGATAGCTGATCCGAAATTTATTGCGTCGAGACCTTCCTGTCGACAAAGTGCATCGATATGTGCTTTCTCGCATGCGTGCTTAAATCTACACGAAATCTTTACGAGTATAGTAAAAAAAAAATGATGTTTCAAATTTAATCAAGAATATTAAAGCTATAAAGAATATTATAACTCGTATTACATTTACGTTAACTTTACACATTTTTCAACGAGCAAGTCGCTTAATGTTGAAAATTAGCAAATAAATTCCTTCGATAAATTGAACTGCGAGAGTAGACGTAGACTGTGAAATTTTTAACGAGATCTTATTTTTTTTAGTTAATTTTAAATGGACTTTAATAGAGTTTATTTGTTACTTTGCTGCTTAGCAGAAAATTTAATTTGAGACTTAATTACCAGGATATTTATGCTGAAAGTTGGAAAGTTGTTACAAATGACTTTCTATCGAATCTTCATTATAGAAAAGTTGACTCTCTAAATTGACCCGAGAATCACTAAATAGAAACGAAAATCCAATAATTCTGAGGCAATCGTTTTAAGCATCCCTGTTTTGAGCATCTATCACTAACAAATTAATTCATTATTATCTGTCACCATGCTGTTAAATTTTGTAAAAGGATTCTCATAATTGTTTTAAACTGAAATGCATTCTCTATAAGGTCAAGGATAATTTATATCCACGGTATTTTCGTAACTGCGTTTATTCGCGGATAAATCGGGCGCGATTTTGTTCGTGAAATTATTCAGCGTCATAAATCGGAGGGCGAAAGAGACAGATCGAGAGCGAGAGAAAAAGAGGGAATCCGCGTGGACATACAAAATGCGATGTAACGTGATTATGGAATTATAATTACTCTATAATTAGTGAGCGTTACTCCGCTAGCGGAACTGAAATGCTTGATTCATCGTCGTGCAATTACCGTTGCTTTCCTATCAACTGACACTAGATGCTCAGCGAAAAACAATTCGAGACTATTATTCGGGACGGAAGGAGATCGCGGGCGGAAATAGCCGGAATAGCCGCGCGCGGAATCGTGCACTAATTCGCATTATTCCAAGCA